AGCAATGAAGGAATGAAAACCCAAAATCCCTGTAAATGTTCATTAAAACTAATAAAATTTAATAATAATAATAAAAAAAAAGAGTGACCACAATGACTTTTCTCACAGCAATTTTCTTCCAAGTCTTCATACAAAGATATCTTCCATCCAAACCAAGAAGTTTCAGAACTGAGAGTGGCCTGTCCTCTTAGATTCTGCCAGTCTCCCCACCCCCTCGCCTCCACATACGGACTCTCCTCCATCTATTCCTCCACACCCCCACCCCATGCTGTAATTCCAGTATGCTGTCTGATTTTTGGAAAAAATACAGCCAGGCAAGCAGAAAGGTCTCCTATTTGTTAAGATTTTATAACTTCCTGGCACTGTGTTATAATTTTATAACGTGGGTCACAGCTCAAGGCTCTGTGTGCTCAGACAAAAAAAATCTCAGGAAAGGACTGTTGGCCAACAGAAGTGAAGGCTTCTCAAGACACACAGTGAACTACACAGCCTGACCTGCGACAGGCCATCAGCCAGCTGGATGGCTCTGCTGCTCACTACCCGAGGCTACAGTTCCTATGTAATGACCTGTCTCATGAAGCAAATAATTACAATGATAATATAACGGCAGAGATGAAACTAGAAATAAAAAAAAAACAAACCAAAAACTAGGCGATTGATTCTCTCTCCTTTTCTTTGTTGTTCACTGTTGTTCTGTGATTTTAGCTTTCGGAATGAGAACATTTCTCAGGTCTGCCGGATACTTGACTATCGAGTATCCAAAAGAAGTTGACAAGACAGAAAGCCAGACTTGCCGTACTGTCTTAGAAAAGCAACTCCTTTTTTGTCATAATTCCTTCATTTGCAGAACGCAGAGTTTGTATCAGTGGTTATGTGACCTTTTTGTCTGATAGCTGTTCCTGTGTACCATCAAGTCGGAACCAACCCATTGCCAACCCTCTGCTGGGTTTTCTGAGGCAGTTAGTTAATCACCCAGGAGACTGCCCGTCCTTCTCCCACGGAGCAGCTGGTGGCTTTGAACTGTGTGCCTTGGGGATTGCAGCGCAGTTTCAACCACTAGGCCACCAGTGCTTCCTGTCTGCCAGTGGAACGGCCTTTATATTTTTAAATGTAACACAGCTGTTTGGGGTTCTGGAAGCATCACTCCGGAATCACCAGTGTGTACAGAGTGAACTGCCCCCTCGCACTGGACCTGGGACGGGAGACTGAGGCTGCCACTCACCTGGAAGAGCTCTCTAAATGAGGGGTGGACCATCGGGTTGGGGACAAAAGGAAGCGCGTAGTAAGGCAGAAACTCCGTGGTCTGGCTCAGGGCTGCCCCTCTGGTCTCCAGGTAGGTTTTGAAGTAAGACATCCTTTCGTCCAGCAACTCTCTGTCCTGCGAGGGAGGGAGAGGCTTGTTTCAGGTGCCTGTTCAACTGGTCTGAGAGAAGCAGCAGCTGAGTCAACACGCTGACAACCTCCATCACCCACATCGTCCCCACTGGGAAGGAGCCCTGGTGGCACAGTGACGAAGAGCCCAGATGCCAACCAATCTGTGGGGCCTGGAACCCACCAGCCGCCCCCCAGGAGGAGGGGAACGTGGTCCACTCCCATCAAGACCACAGTGGAGGGACCTCACTGGGGCAGATGACTGTCCTGCAGGGCCACCTTGAGCGGGAAGCTGGACGGCGATGTGACTAATTTGGTTTTGGTTTCTCTGGCAGGAATGTCTCCGTTCACTCTAACGTCACTTCAAATCTCAAACCCTGATGGAATGTTCTCCATAATAGCAAGGACTATCTGCATCTCGAGATATGATGCTCTTTTCGCTTTATTATTTGCTCACACCCTTAAAATTCTTTATAAGCATTATCTTTAATGGCAGAACAAAATCTTGTGGTCTCTCATAGCTTGTGTGCGACTGTGAGTTATTAATTATTAGACATGCACGCCATTTCCACCTCTCAGATACAGCTACATGCGGATCGATCTGTCTGCACGTCCTTGACTGCCTCAGTCATTGTCAAATCAGCTCCAAGTCAGGGAAGTTTCCCAGAAGTGATCTGGCAGAATTTTAGTGGTTTTTGGAAATAGAAGTTTCCGTATCATTACTTCTTTCCTTCATTAAACTCATCAGGAATTATCAGTAAGTTTCGTGCATCACCTCGGACAAACCCATTCTCCTCCCAGGCTCTCCTCTCAGGTCTCAACGAGTAAATCAGATGAGCTGAGCTACTCACATTTTAATCTGGTGTCTTCTTTACTAGCCCTCGTTTGACCACAGGGTTTAGAAAAAATCTGCCAACTTTTCTTCAAAGAAGCCCAGTGACAGAACAATAAAGCATATGGCTATTAACCGAAAGATCAGGAGTTCAATTCCACCTGCAGCTCTTCAGTCCCTACAGGTGATGACTGTGGCTACTTGGTCCCTATATATGATCACTATGGCAGGAATTGACTCCATGAAAATTTTTTTTAATATCAAAATGGAAAAATTGGGAATAGAAATAAATGCAAACTAAAAGCTCCCATGATCTCACCCATCTGGGTAAATACTCTTGTGGGAAAATCCTTCAAAACTGACCCCCACAATGCACCTGGAATGTTGGTCACTCCACTTTCTCCCCACCCTTCACTCTCCGACATTAAAATGTATCCAGATACATGAAGACAGGTCCAAGGGCAGTAGCTAAGGCATGAAGAAGTCAACAGTGTTAGCTGGCTCTACTCCCAAGGGACTCTTCATCCATTCTGTTTCCTCTGCGCCCAAGGATTCACTCTTAGGAGGGCAGCCTCGAGGCTCAGCTCCCTCCTCTCTTGTGTCTCAGCCCCCAGGAAAAGACGGAGGACGCCAAACTCAACTTATCCGTCAAATGGACTTCAACAAATCGACATATCCTTTTCCCACTGTTACATTTCAGTTCAAATTTATATTGTAGTATATCATCTAATTTGTACACAGCAGCAGAGAGGAAGACCCTCTATGAGGCAGACTGATTCAGTGACTGGGGTAATTGGGATAGCTGTGTTGCAGACAGTGAGATTGGCACAGGACAGAGCAGGGTTTAGGGCTGTTGTACACAGGGTCGCTATGAGTCGCAGGGGACTCGACGGCACATGACAACAACATATGATTTAATAAGCAGTCTGAATATGTATCCTCTTTGGCTTATCTGTCTGTATGAAGTTGTCAAAATAAATAACACCACAAAAAACAAACTTTGCTGAGGTTCCAAAAACTTGAGGTATTATATAGCCTCAAAAAAAAAATTATATTTCCAATGACCATAAGAAAACCTAAAGTATTCAATGACGATTTCAATACAGAAATCATTAAATTGTGAAGTAAGAAAATTAGCTAGTGGGAATGAGTCAGATAATCATTCCTTAATATGCAGATGCCTACATCTGGAAGGCAAACCTCCTCTCATCTCACCCCCCTCACATAGCAGTCACATCAGCTCCAAGGTTGAGGTGAACCCACTAACACACACACACACACACACACACACACAACCCCCCACATAACAGTCACACCAACCCCAAGGTCAAGGTGCACCTACAGGCCTCCCTGAGGAGTGTTTCAGAAGATAGATGGCAAAGTGGATGTGAAGATAGAATTCCAACTTCTGGGCCAGGGAGTCCCCATCTCGAATGGAGCCAGGAATGTGCTCCTCCCAGTGACTGAAGAACTCCTTCTGGTCTCCACTGTCAAATGCAGCAATGAGAGCCTTCTGTGGAAAAGACAGCCAACTGAACCCCAGGTGTAAGAGATGCCTGTTCTTCCAACTCCCCAAATCCTCACAACCCTCCGGTCTCTCAAATGCCCATGGAGTCGGTGGGAGGGACCTGCGCTTCCTGTCAGGGTCCCTCACCCAGGAGGTGGGGGCAGCGCAGCAGACCTCCCAGGAGGCACCAAGCCCCTCAGGCCGAGCTTGCCCACCTGCTTCCCTGTTTGTAGAGAGAAGAGATGGAACATTTCTGAGCTGGAAAAGCTCAGGCTTAGGCTGCACATGAGGCCAGAGACCCCACAAGCACGTAACCACACTCTTATCACCCTTGGGGCTCGCTGACTCAGAGACCCAGCTGCTAAAACCCGGGGGCGGGGGGACCTGCCCGTGAGGGAGAGACTGATTCTCTTCATCACGAACTTCCTCTTGCCCCAAACAAACTACAACTCGCCAGGAGGGGATGACGTCTGTCTGGTCCCAAGCCCTGAGGACTGACTCCCTTTTCCTTCTGTCTCGTGAATGGACCTAGCAGGCCTGATGGTTCCGCAAGTCTCCTGGGTCAGGAGCAGAGGTTCAAAGATGGCATTACTGGTTTGTCTGCAAACAGCCAGGCGACCTCAGAGTAACTGTGAACTGGTCCCAGGAGGAACCCCAACGTTCTCCAACGGACAGGCTGGAGCATCTACAGCAACCCCAAAAGAAGACAAGTCTCACCTGGATCACCAGCAACGTGGCATCTCGGAGAGACCCGCCTGCTCTCTTAGACAAGGGCTTCCCTTTGATTTTGCACTCTTTTGAAAACGTTTTCAAAGTGTCTTCAAATTCGGCAAAATCTAAATACTGTGAGAAGAACAGAAAAGGTATTTTTCCCTGTTTCCAGCATCAGCAGAGCAATAGTCTATGCTGTCCTCCCGTAGCAGCACATTCTCGCCCATCTGTAACGGACAGGCGCCGCTCGGTGAAGCGCGGTGGAGAAGCAGAGCCGTGAGGGATCCAACCTCAACTGTGCCAAGTCGTCTGCTGAGCGCCCAGGGAGGCAGGATGTAGACAAGAAATCTGTTTCCATAAGGAAAATGTGTGCTCCATGATTCATTAGAAAACTTAATAGAAATAAAATGGTGTAAGCAGCGGCCTCAAAAGGGTCCATGAGCCTGACAGCTTTGGTCTAGCTGGGAATTGGTTCCTGGAAACAGGGGATTAGAAGTGTTACAGTATCCATCCTGTGAGGACTGCAATCAAGGTCAAGAAACAAAATGTGAACATGCTGATGAGTCGAAACTCATTTGCTCCGTCCTGTTTTACCCAAACCACAATACAATGTTAAACAATCACCTCATCTCTTAGAAGATCATTTCCCCCAAGATGGGCAAAGTCACAAGTGACGTCCAGCCAGAGCCCAGTACGAAGGATCCCCAGGCCCCTGAAGGCTCCCCACCACCATGTTCTGCAAAATGAACCCAGCAGAGCAGTGTGTACCCACCTCCTTCCTCGCTCCTGAGGGTGTGTCTCCCCGTGTGACAGTCCCTAACTGGACAGTTCCCTGCCTGACCTACAGCCTGTGCTGGGGAGGCTTTGTGAGTTTATTCACTGGAGTTTCTGGATCACTTTAGGCTCGATGAAGCTGTGTCCTAAGACGCCTTTAAAACCGAAAGCAAAAACATACCCTGGGGGTGTCTTAAAACCAAATACTACCTCTATCGACTGCCACGGAGTCATTCCTGCCTCACTGAGACCCACTTCCTGCCTGCCTGAGACCCATTTCCTGTCACACTGGGACCCACAGGCCACAGCAGAACCGGCCCTACGTTCCCAAGGTTGTAATCTCAGGGAAACTGCCAGCCACGTCTCTTCCTGCGGAGCAGCTGCGTGGTTAAGCACCACACACCCAGGGCTCCCCAAGACCAGCTAACAGCTGCGTTTATTTGGTAAAGAACGTCTGCCTTGAGCACTCTGCTCTTTTAAGATCCATCTAATCAGGAGGGAGCACAGCAAGGTCAGATGGGAACCTGAGGGGCAGAAGGTTTACGTGAACGAAGAGGCACAGGAGAGAGAGAGCAGTTCAGAAAGGTGGGGAGATTGTGGACACAACACAAGGACATAACCAGAGCCGCTGAATGTGTGTATGTTCTGCTGGGTTTACTTTTAAAAATGATTTTTTCAAAGACTATTCTTGATCGCGCCAGCACATTCCGGAGCAGTCTTTGCACGTGGCTGCTTCACCCTCGATGTCCGGTGTATGGCTCATTTAGCAGGAAGATGGCAGCAGCTGATAATTCAGCACCAGCTACACGCCGGCTGCATGGCAAAAGCCGCAAAGAGCCAGCAAGCACACCCAGGGCACACCTGCCCAGCCACAGCCGAGAGCTGCCCACCGCCGACTCACTGCTGTCTGGTCAACGGTGATTCAAAGGGACCCCGTGGGCTGAAACGAACCATCCCACAGGGTCCCCAGTGCCAGAAATCTGCAGAAGCAGACGGTCTCGTGTACCGAGTTCTCTAAGTCATGACACGATCACTCAGTTACCTTCTTCCACACACTGAAAAGCGAGCAGCATGCAGACGGATGAGGGGAGAGGCAAGAGACAGTAAGGGGATGATCAGTGGAACGTCACTGCAGAGAGGCCAGTCGCAGAGGGGACAGCGGGAGCGGTGTGGCCGGTGTGGGGACTGGAATTAATGTCATAAAACAAACTATCCACCAAAGGCTAAGTGGAAAATCTGTATGTTCTCTAAACCTTCAAACCACAATCAAAAAACTCAAGGCACCTGCAGGAGGCTATGTGGGCCGTGTCAGTGCCGCCAGGGAACAGGCCAGCGACAAGGTGGTGGGCAGGGGCTCTCCCCTTCTGTAAAGGGGCGATGAGATTTTGAAGACTGACAGAGAAGTTTGCAAAGACAGCCATTACACCACTACCAGCAGTTACTGCAGAGTGAAGCAGGGGAATTCACCCTCAACTCTTCTGGGCCGACTCAAGTTTTAATCCCCTTACTTTTCTCATTTTTCCACTTATTTTCAAATAATGCATTTCATCCCTTTTTTATGGTTGAGATAATGCACAGCAGAGCACATGCCAGTTCAATCACTTCCACACATACAGTTTAGTGACAGTGACCACCACCCCCCACTCCTGTCTGAGCCGCTCTTCCGTGACTAATGTAAACGTGCCGCCCTGAAGTTGCCTCTGATCTTTCAAGTTGCTGTTGTCAGTTTGATCCCAGAGCCACGCTCACTGGCAACAAGCAGTCATTGTCGTGTGACATCAAGTCAGAATCGACTCATAGCTGACCCTCCAATGGGTTTCTGGAGCCAGTCCACCAGTAAATTTCACAGGAGGAGACTGCCCGTCTTTTTCCTGCAGAGCAGCTGGTGGACTTGAACTGTGTCCATGGGGTTGGTCCTTCCCACTAGGCCACCAGAGCTCCCTCAAGAAGGTTCACAATAATAGACCTGATAGAGCAGAGAGAACTGCCTCAGAGTTTCCCAGGTTACAGACGGCTACCGTGAAACAGACAGCGGCATCCTTCTGCTGGAATTGTGGGTGGGCTCAAACTGCAGACCTTTCAGTTAGCAGCCAAGCACTTTAGCTGAACCACCAGAGCTGGGAGCCCAGATACACAGTTCTTAAAAGAGCGCGATGCTCAGTGCAGACATCCTTTCCTAATAAGGCTAAACCACTGCCAGGGGATATTTTTCATTTAAGGTAGAAGTATTGCTTTAAGCCAGAGGTTTTAGGGATTCATCCAACCTCCAGTACTCCAAAATGTGGACTCCACAAGAATTTGGAATTGTATTTTTAAAGCAGTATTTTTTCAAAAGTGGTCTTAAGAAATCCATTTATGAAAAGATAAACACATAGACAATTATTTAATAGAAAACAGATAAATAACTCCAGCACAGCCACAGAATAAACACGCCAGGCACTATGGAATTCACTGTTTTAAACGACAAACATTGCATTTTCAGATCCCTTTCTATGTGACTCATGTGTGTATAATGGACCTACCTCTCTTACGAGTCCAAGTAATTCGGATTCATGAGCCAAAACGTCTCCCATGATGAAGGGTTACTGTAATTCTCACAGCAAAAATCTCTGAAAGAAAAAAATTAGACAAAAACTTTTCTTCAATCATCTGTGAAATCACACAAGGTGACTGTAGTTGGCAGAATAATGGTCTCCAAACACAGCTACTCCTTATTCTGGAACCTCTTAATTAAGACCTACTTAAAGTGGCCTACGACAGGGAGCTGGAAAGACAGAACACTGTGAGGTCAGGGAGGGGATGGACACATGCAATTATGATTCTGGACACAGTGCCTGATAAAGTAGAGGGTCTGTGAAAAGGCGTAAGATACACACAAGGCAGACTGACACAATCGCTGTACAATGGGCTCAAAACAAGGCAATGACTGTGAGGCAGGGACAAGACCAGGCCATGTTTTGTTCACTGTACACAAGGTCACTACAAGTCGGGAGCAATTCAATGGCACTTAACAACAACATGACCATTAGAAGAAGGCCTCATGGCACAGGTATTAAAGCATTCAGCTGCTAACAGAAAGGTCAGCAGTTCAAACCCACTAGTCACTCCAGGGAAGAAAGATGTGGTGTCAGCTTCCATACAGATCCAGCCTTGGAACCCAGGAAGCAGCTCTGCCCTAGAGCATCACTGTGAGTGGGACCTACAACAAGGTTTCTGGGTGTCTGTTTCATGCACATAGGAAGGAGCCTGGGTGGAAGAATAGTTAAGAACTCGGCTACTGACCAGAAGGAAGATGGTTTGAATTTACTATCGGGTTCAAATGAAGACCTACCACTCTGCTCCCACCAAGAGTTCAGTCTGGGAAACATTATGATCAGTTCTACTCTGTCATGTAGGGCCACTGTGGAATCGACTAAGAACATGATGATGGGAGTGGGTGGGTGAGAAGGATACAGGAACGCTGCCAGTACTAAGAGTAGTAAGTACTTGGGAAGAATGAAGAAAACGGGACAGCCAGGATTCTGGAATCTCTGTAAATGAGCAGCAGGGGCGGAAGGGCAGACGTGAGCCAGGTGCTAAACCCTCCAGAGAAACCAGCATGGGCTCAGGAGGTGACTGCATCAAGGTGGGACAGGCTCAGGCACATCCCTCAGAGGAGTGGGAGCCTGGAAGAAGGGGGAGGTGGCCTGGAAACAGTAACGAGGAACAAGGAGGACATTACCATCCACCCCACCCACCACCTCCAGGCCTGCCAGGGAAACCAGGTTGGGGAGAAATCCAGCTAGCATCGGCATGGACGGCCACCTCTCCAGCTCCTCTCTGGACCAATTTCCTCCCCCCGCTTCTGTCTGCTCCTGTGCACCCCTCCTCCATGCTGGGCCCCACTGAGAGTGAACTCCTGCCATTCCCCTGTGTAACCCGCTCTTTCATGATTCTAAGGCCTCTGTTTGATGTCCTTGACTCACCTCCTGGGTAAATTCAAGTCATCCCTCAGATCTAGTCTAGACTTGATCTCTTCGGGAAGTCTTCCGCAGGCTTCCCCACTGAGAACACCCTCTTTCCTCTGGAATACCAGTGGTTTCTACTCCGACTATTACACCTGTCGTTGTTGTTGTTGTTCTTGTTATGTGAAACAGTCAGAACTGACTCATAGGTGACTCTTCAGTAGGTTTTCAGAGGCTATAAAACTACATGTGAGGAGACTGCCTGGCTTTTTCCTTCAGGGCAGCTGATCCGATTCGAATCACCTGCCTTTGGGTTGGCAGCACAACTCCCTACCAGCAGACCACCAGAGCTCCCTACTGCTAAACCTACCACCATGGGCAGGGACTATGTTCAAATTTCAGTATCCCCAGGGCCTAGAAGAGAGCCTGGTGGACAAGACCAACAACCACAGCCTCTGATGGATAAATGAACTAAGCACAGGAATAGTACGTTTGAAGGCTGAGACAATGAGGCTGTATTTGAGAACCCACGCTCCTCACTCACTCTCTCTCTCTCTCACACACACACACACACACACACCCGGGCCTTTTGCACCTATTGTCTTCTCTGCCTAAAACATCCATCCTCCTTTCTTGGTCAGACTACACTCTGCATTTCATAAACCTCACCTCCTCACAAGTCTCCACTGTCTATCACTTAAGTAAGACTCATTACCTGTCAGTGAAGCTGAGTCACACTGGGTATCTCTGATATTCTTACAAATTTCAAAATGTGGCTACAACCTTTACACTGTCATGTGGCTGCTAGCCACAGCTGAGTCAGCTGCAATGCAAGAAGCTCTTGTGTCTAAGAGAACAAAGCACTCACCATGCTGTACCATCTTCATCATCACTGGGATGTCGGAGTCCACTGCGCCCACCCATCTCAACTTAATGAGGGTCTCCCTCATTTTCATTGACCCTGTGTGTTGCCAAAGGAGCCCTGCTGTAAAAACAGTGAAATACTGGGCTGCTGTCTCAGAGTTCTTTTGTCCAAATCCACCAGCGAGTGAAAAGACCCAGTGGTTTGCTCCCGGAAGGATTTCGACAGCTAGGAATCCTAAGAGGCATACAGATTTCCTAAGAGGAAATTCAAAGGGGTCCAGGAAACACTACAGCGCCCGAGAGAATTGCTAGGATTCAGAATCAAGTCAATGACACATAATGACTTAACCACGCATGATGACTCTTCTATAAGACATCATTTAGTTTATTAAATACCAGGCAACGGGCAAAATGCTTCACGATTAGAGTTCACAGGAGCAACTTAAGCAGAGAGTAGGGAGCTCCAGTGGCCTACTGATCAAGAATTGTGCTACCCGAATGGATAGAGGAGCTGTGGTATATTCACACAATGGAATACTATGCAGCACTGAAAAACAAGGCACTCATGCAACAGTGTGCAAAGTGGATGACCCTAGATAACATTATGTTGAGTGAAATATCTCAGTCATAAAAGGACAAATACTGCATAGGGCCACTCTTGTAAAATGGGACTGACATCTGGGTTGAGGGAAGGCAGAGAAGCAGGGGAGGAATGATGTATACTACATTGAAACAGATGAGGGAGAACTGTTTAAAAGGGATATATGATTGGGTATTATTGTCATGACAGGAGTCCAGAACGAAGGCTGCACAGTGAAGTGGACTTGGGAGGAGGGACTGCATAACAATGAAAGAGTTTTTATTTTACTTTCCAAGGAGAAGAGTGAATTGGTGGGAAGGGGTGGGCAGGGAGAAAAGTGCAATAATGAATGACTGGAAATCCAAAGTCTCTGTAAACTTTCATTGAAATTAATCAAAGAAGAAAAAAAAAAAGAATTGTGCTACCAACACTTGGTTTGAAAGATGGGCAATCTCCTCCCAGCGATTATCTGCCTCTGGGAACAGACTGGAGGGTCGATCAGCTATAGGTCAGTTCCAACTCAAGGGTAAACAGCAAGAAATCAGTGAATATAATTTGCAGATGAGGCTCAGGGAGCTTGACACTCTCCCAACGTCCTCAGCACTCAGTACGTGCAAGGTTGCAATATAAATCCAGACGGATCTTAATCACACATGAGCATTATTTCCCCTCAAGTTTAGGTCACCAGAATCCGTCACCACGGATGTTGGTCAAAAGGTTCTCTGGTCTAGGTTTTACTGAAAACCGTGGCACGGGCGCTGCCAAGATCTCTTCATTATCAACAAGCTCCTCAGCCGATAGTCATGCGCACTCAGGTTTAAAAGTCACAGCTTTCTTCTACGCGGAACTCGAGAAACACTTAGGCCACGAGTGGGGCTTCCAGCGACAACTTATGCAGCTCTCTGCTAGAGAAATTAAAGAGTCTGCAAGCTGGTGGGATGAAGAGGACTTGTCCTGAATACGAATTAACGCGCCACGCATCCTGTTAGTATCCAGACCGCAGGAACTCTGGACTTCACCGGGAGGAGGCCGATGGGCACTTGGGGAAGGGATCTAACTGGCCACCAGCCCACTCCCAGCGGGACAAGCTGGCGTCCCTCTCCCAGCCTGGCACTCTGCGGCAAAGGCTTTCTCGGGATGCAATGAAGGAGCCTTAAGGATGGACGACCCCAGGGGGCCACTTGGGGCCCACGCCAGAATAAGGACCTTAAACTGCAGGCCGACGTGGGGCGTGGGCAGGAGAGGGCTCATCGGGGTTTTTCTCTGGGGCGAGAGGTGGGCAGAGGCTCGGCCCTCGGGCCACATCGCTGCTCCTCCCCGCTCGGAGCCAGCGGGACCGGCCAGGGGGCGCGATCCAGGGAAACTGGGGGACCCCGGGAACAAGGACGGGAGCCTCGGGGAGGCGGGGGACACGCTTACCTGCAGTCCGGCCGCACGCTCTCCGCGGGGCCGCCACCTCTACAGCCGTCACCCCGGCAACCGCCGCCGCCGCCCGGGGTCACGTGGGCAGGAACAGCCAATCGTGTGCGGCGAGGCCGGCGCGGCGCATCCTGGGAGGCTGGCGTGGCCACGCCTCCTGGCGGCGGAAGCAAGAACTGAAGTCGGTTCCGGCCTTGCCGCCGCCCTCCCTCTGCTTCCCGTGGTCATTCCCTGAAATCGGGGTCCGGCCCTGCCGCCGATGATCATTGCCTGAGGTCGGGGTCCGGCCCTGCCTCCGATGGTCATTCCCTGAAGTCGGGGTCCGGCGCTGCCGCCGATGGTCATTCCCTGAGGTCGGGGTCCG